GGACGATAGATGTTTGATGTGACAGGAGGGGAGATAAGGACGATAGATGTTTGATGTGACAGGAGGGGAGATAAGGACGATAGATGTTTGATGTGACAGGAGGGGAGATAAGGACGATAGACGTTTGATAGGAAAGAAGGAGGGGAGATAAGGACGATAGACGTTTGATAGGAAAGAAGGAGCAAACCACACCAGAGCACCCACCAACCACCCACTAATACATATATCAGGGATGTACACAGGTTTTGAAAAAAAAAAAAGCCGGAAAATTTACACGGTGCGCGCACTGACTGAAATAAGAATACAGTGAGACTAGATTACATTTGTCTCTTCCCCTCTATTACAACAAATAATCTCTATCTAGTATGTATAATATTATTATGTATTGTTTACAGTAGAATTTTGTTAAAAGCTGAGGCTCAAACGGCAAGTCGGCCGGAAAAAAAGGAAAAAGCCGGAAGATTTACATCCCTGATATCTGAAGCAGCGTGGTGAATTCAGGCGCTCGCCAAAACAACGAAAATGGAGAAACAGGCATTTTTCCCTCAGTTTGGAAATTTTGATAGACTTTTTATTTTTTGGCTTAACCTCATAAAAACACATTTCCGAGTTGATTTTACTTTAAAAAGTTGATTAAAGGCACAAAACTGTACATTTTCAGTTTCCAAGGACTCTCAAGCTATGGAAATTACCAAACTTTGGCGGCCATTTTCTCGCTAATTTCACCTCTGAAAGCAGGAAACCCTCACCCCCCTTCAATAACAAATATCTCGATTTGTAGTCAACATAGACTGATATTTTTTTCACCTAATTTCCTAAACCAAGGCTAAGAACTGTCTTTAAGATGATATCAATAACCCTAAATGCCCAAAAATTGACGAGAGCCTGATCACATTTTCTAAAAAATCAGAGTATCGGGGAAGAATCGGACATTTCCAGCATCCCAGTAGATTAACCAGGTGTTCTGAGAGCGAGGGCGAAGTGTCTAACCCCTACACCACTAGACAGACGCCAGTGTTCCAGAGCGTGTAAATACAACTTGTTCTTTTGTCCCGTTTAAAGTTCTATGATATTGACGCCATCTTATTAGTAGAAAAATGTGCGTATGAGAGTGCCTAATAATGTATAACGTACATATTTGTTATAACATGTAACTGTTACATATAGATGTTCAACATAATTATAGAAGTTTGTGTCAAAAGTAAAGTTGTTCCAGCATCCCAGTAGATTAACCATGACAAATAAACATGTATTTTTATGTTTTATGTCAACATTTTTTTTTGCACAAGCGCACAAAAACGTGTATCTTTACTTCATCACAAAAGTGGAGCAAATATTGCAAATAAGCCGGTGTATTTTCACAAATTTCACAACAGGTCAGTTTTCTTTTAGCAAAGAGTTTTACGGCACTTGCAGCCCAATAAGGTCATTTTAGTGCCACAAATTAGAAACGATACAAGAGAGTAACAAACAAAAAAAAAGGAGGAAGAGAGATAAGGACGACAGACGTTTGACAGGAAAGATGGAGCGACCCCCATCAGCAGAGCACCCACCTACCAACCACCAAACACAGGTCAACTTACAGTGTCTCTGATGGCACAGCACCCACCAACCACCCACCCACCAACTTACAGTGTCTCTCATGGCACAGCACACCACCCACCAACCACCCACCCAC